GCTCTGACTGTTTCTCCAAAGCAAACCGCCAGCAAGAAGACATGGAGGAGGAGGAAGGGCTGCGGTGGGTTGGGGGAGCCTCTTGTGGGTGACAGAGTGCTGTGGGGAGGGTGATCCTATGGCCTCTTGGAGGGCTCCCCCCCACCCACCCAGCCTGTCTTGCTCTTCTTCCCAGCTTCCCCCTTCTTCCGCCAGGCTTGCTCTTAGGAGCAACTCCCTTGGGGGGAGTTCTGATGCTTGTGCCTCCCCCCCAACCCACTGAGGTGGACCCACCATCCTGAGCTTCCTGCAACTGTGCCTGCAAGGGGGGGGAGGGAGGGACTCATCCCCGATGCCCCCCCCCTTGGGCCAGCCTTGTTCCTACAGCCATGCCAGGGACCTGCCTGCTGGCCTCCCTCCTCCCGCTCTCCCCACTGCTGCCTACAAGAAGGCCCAAGTTTCCTGCCCCTGGCCTTGGCTTTCCAGCGTGTGGAGCGAGGCGTGTTTTGTCCAGGGTGGGTGACAAGCTGGCAGGCAATGTGCCGCCTGACATGGGGGGTGGGCGGAAGTGGGGAGCCGTGGCTGCATGGAGGACAGCAAGGCCCATCAGCCCCCCCCCCCCGGCAAGCGTTTCTCTTTCTTGAAGCTGAGAGCAGCAGTCGGGAACATGTTTGGGCGGCAGCGGGGGGTTTGGGATGTCGTGTGTGGATCTTCCCCTACAGCCCCTCTTTCTCGTGCCTCAGGTTGAGGAGCCCCCGAAGCCTCGTCCACCCCCCAGCTGACGACAAGAGTGGCTAGTCCCCTCGCCATGCATTCCCTGGACGAACCCCTTGACCTCAAGCTGAGCATCTCCAAGCTCCGTGCGGCGCGGGAGAAGGGCGGCCGGACCTTCCCAGGGAGCGCCAGGTGCCCCAACCCCCAGACCCCCGAGGAGGGGACCACCACAGCCAGCCCGGGCTCCCCGACGACCAGTGAGTGTCCAGCACAGGGCAGGGGGGGGTTGCTGGCCAATGCTCTCCTGCCTCCCCCACGGCTTGTTCAAGCCCCCTCCGGGCATCTCCCCGCTTCTCTCCGCGCAGGCTTGCCGTCACACTCCAAAGGCCACGGCAAGAAAGAGGCCCCCTTTCCCTCGCCTCCCACCATAGACCTGAGCCTGTCGCCCCCTCCTCCGGCTTCCGACTCCCCCAGCGGCAGCAACTCGCTCTCCCCAGACCGGCACGGCAGTGGGGAGCTGGTCAGCACCTCCAGCCTGCGGGTAAGTCGGGAGGGATGGCCGGGTGGAGGGGGTAGCCAGGGACTCCCTTTCCTTTCTTTGGGGAGGGTCTTCCCTCACAACATCCTTGTAGGGTAGACTGGGGAAAGTGCCGGGATCTCTTGTGGAGGAGGTCCTCCTTGTACGGGCCAAGCCGGCTGAGCGCCTTTGGGTGTCCTTGCCCCCACAGAGCAGCGATGGCACCCGAACCCCGCTGCCCTGCTGGAGACCTGCCTTTCCCTTAAGACCCCTCCTGGGGAACTGGCTTTCCCTGAGGTGGGTGGGGGCGGGGGGGGTTAAAGGAGGGTCCTGTCTAGCACTCAGCAGGTCAGCCACCCACCCAGTCTGGGGGAGGGTGCACCGCTCCACGGGAAGTGGGGCGGCCCACCAGGCACGACGTGGCCACTTCATGCTTCATTTCCAAACTCTCTCTCTCCCCCCTGCCTTCCCCCCCCCCGGTTTCTGCCTTCCCCAGGATCTTCAGTCCTTGCGTTACATTGACGGCCTGCGCAATTCCTTCCAGTTTTTCCTTCCTTTGAACGCGGGGGGCGCTTTGCAGCTGCCCACCTCAGCCTTCCTGATGCCCAGCAAGGAGAAGCGGCTGCCCCCCCCTGAGCTGCCTCTGGCCAAGCAGCTGGTGTGCCGGTGGTCCAAGGTGAGCAGCGCAAGTGAGCGCCGGGCTTGTGGCCGGGGGGGATGGGGGG